CGGCGAGCAGCGCAGCGGCGCCCAGCGCGCAGGTGAGCGGGGCGCGCGCGGCCGAGGCGCCCGGGCCGCTCTGCCCGGGGAGCTCCTTCTCTCGGGGTCCTGGGCGCTCCTTCCGTCGCGCTCCTGGAGGCTCCTTCCCGGACCTAGGAGCTCCTTCCCTCAGTATCTCAGAACTTTTTCCCCTCTTTCACAAGTTCTGCTCTGTTTTAGAAATGCGCTCGCTAGCTTAGAAGCTCTTTCCATCCCTATCTTAGAAGGTCCTTTCCGATCTTAGGAGCGCTTTCCCCAAGTATCTTAGAAGCTCCCTCTCAGTTTCCTTCCCTATCTCAGAAGCTCTTTCCCTCGATATTTTAGAAGCTCTTATCTCTGTTTTAAAACTTGTTCTGTTTCAGAAGTTCCTTCCCTGTTTTAGAAACTCCTCCAGCAGTAGCCTAGAAGATCCTTCCCGATCTTAGGAGCTCCTTCCCTCAATATTTTAGAAGATGTTCCCTGTTTTAGAAGTTCCTGTCTATTTTACAAATTCCCTCCCTAACTTAGAAGCTCTTTCCTATCTTGGAAGTTCCTTCCCGATCTTAGAAGCTCCTTCCCGCGGGATCTTAGAAGCTCTCTCAGTATTTTAAAAGCTCTTTCCCTCGATACTTAGAAACTCAGTGTCTGCCTTAGAAACTTCCTCCATCCGTAACTTAAAGCTCCTTCCCTCAGTGTCCCCTCGCTGCGGATCCCGGGGAGGAGCGGGGGCAGCGCGGGCGCGGAGCGGGGCGGCCGCGGGCGCCTTGCGGGGCGCGCGTGCAGAAGGGGGAAAACTCCTCGGGGGATGCAGTAAATATCTCCCCGCAAGTGCAAACAGTGAAAAGAGGGGGGAAAAAAAACCCCACCAAGTTAACGCGGTGGGCAAAAGCTGTTTCAAAAGCGCGCAGCGGTGCCTGAAACGCGTCTCCCCGACGCCCCGCAGCTGCTACCTGAGTCGCTGTTTATTTTTCAAAGCGCTCTAATGGAAGGTAGCCCCGTGCAGCCCGCCGTGCTGGGGCTCGCATGTGCCCGGCAGAAAGTTCCCATTGTTCGGAGAGGGTCGGAGGCGAGTTTGCCAAAAAAGTGACAGGGGAATAAATGGGCTTCGCGGAGACTGGGGGTGGAGGCAGGACTTTCATACCCCTTTTGGTTAAAGCTATAAATCACGCTGGGGGTTGGTTTTGTTTTCGAGCAAGTACTAATAAAACACCAGATTCTTAGTGTAACTCGTTTGGCTCATTTTTCACAGCCAAAAGAATTGATTTATGGGGCAACATCTCGGCTACTTTGTCAGAGCAGATGAGATTGGTGTTAGGAGGAAACAAGAGCAGCCTGTGCTAGTGACGCTCTTAGGCACCGAGTGAAATTAAGTGTCAGACCTTTCCCTCGTTTCGGCCTGAAGTACGTATTTGTGCTGTCACTTACAGCGAAGTTCTCCGGGTAGCCGCCGGGAAAAGCGTGGAGCGACCTCTGTGGCTTCCTGCAGGTCCTCTGGATTTACACCCAGGTGGGCTGAGCTCTCAGCCAGGGACTGAGGTCTTGGGGGAGAAAAATAAGGTAAAAGCCTTTCTGCTCTGTAAGACACTCATATTTGTGGGTCCTAGGATGGTGTTTGACCTAGCAAGCAAGGTGCCCTGATGTGTTGGTGGAAGAGGGCAGTGGAAGGAAAATATCCACACAGTGATGCCTTTGAATGGAGTGGCGCCTCCGGAGCTCGGGCGGGAATCCTGCGGGCAGGTTCTGGCTTCCCTGTCCCAGCTTCTCCGAGTCATTGCCTGGTCGTGGTCCGGTGGTTGTCACTGCTGGGACTCTCACGAGGTGCAGGATCGGGTCCTTGCAGAGGGGAGCGCGTGCGGAGATGGGACCTGGCGTCGTCACACGGGATGGGACCTGGCGCCGTCACACGGGACGGGAGCCGGTGCTGTCACACGGGCTGCTCCGGGATGGACCACGTGTGTGCGGGACGCGTGGAGTGTCCTGTGGCCGGGCCTGATGGACTCGTCAGGCGAGGGCAGATCCCCGCGGCCAGCGCGGAGCGGGCAGGGAAAAGGGCTTCTGCAAAAGCAACTGTAAAGAATATAAACCTTCGGAGCCAAGTAAAAACACATTTTACTTCTCAATCTTTCAATTGAACGGTAAAAAAAAATAAAAAAGAAAGGAAAAGGCAAATTCTTTCTCCTAGTCAAATGGACCATGGGGTATTGGCCCATTACTGAGGGTTGTTGTTTGCTAGGTTTTGCATTTACAGTCCAAGGCCTTATTTTCCATAAAGGGGCTTGGAAGGATTTTTCCCTAGTGATCTAATTCTCCACACGGGGCTGTGAAGGCTGTAACAGCTACTGCTTTGTGCCTATACTCAGCTACATAAAACACACATTGAAGGGAGGCATTCTCGAGGTATGTGTATGTTTGCTAATATGAATACTAGCTATTAGTGGAGGTGGAGGGGGTGCAGGTTTTAACATCTCCGCGGGGAGGTGTTGGGCTGCTGGCAGGAAGGAGGCAGATGGCGGGGCTGCTGCTGAATAGCAGCTAAACTCCAAACACCGGGGGCCTCATCTGGGCCGAGTTTCTCCTCACTCCCTTTCTCGGGGCTGCTGCGGGAAGAACAATGTCATTTTTTCCCCCCTTTTTTTATGAATGAAAGTAGAGAGGCAAGGCAGGATTGAATGTGTATGTCATTCAGCGGCTATGACAGAGATGATTAGGGAGGTCAGTGAACTCCTTTGCAGCCTTGAGCATGCGGTCACTCTATTCAGCAGCCACAGAATAGACACCAATATAAAAAAGCCCTTCCAATTTGCATTAGTATTCAGATAGAGATATTACTTCGTACGATTGGTGAATGTCAAGTAACGCTGGCTGTTTTCTTAGCAGACCAGCAGAAACGGCGGCGTTTCCCCTCTAAAAATTTGTGATAACAGGCTGCCTTCCCTATCTGGTTAGTGCATGTGCACGTGTGATAAACAGGAAAAGTGAATTTCTGGACCTCTTGGAATTTTTATCATACTGGTTCACCCACTAAGCCTGTGCGTATGTGTTCTAAAAGTTACCTAGAAAGCTGTTAATATTTGAGAAGGTTTGCATGGGAAGAGGGGGAGCTGTGTGTCAGTAGCTGAGGTTTGCTTACACGGTCCTGGAGTTTGGCTGTCACCCGGAGTTCCTGTGCTGGACCTGGCAAGCAAGGCAAAATGCTCAAAGTGTCACCAATATCAGGATTTAACTTAACTTTGAATATTGGGCCACATACTCCTGTGGCTTTTCTGCCTAGGATCAGTGGTGAAGTGCTGCCTGACAAGTTTTTCTTTATACAGCTTATAGCAACTCTGCTTTCTCTTTCTTTCTTTCTTTCTTTCATTTTATTACTATTTTTTTATTATTATTATTTTAAAGCTGTCTCAGTTTCAGGCCAGAGAGGGTGCGAGGTGTAAGATAATATGATCTGCATCATTTTGCTTTGTGTATCTAAATGTTCCAAAGTTCACCATGAAATTATAATTGCATTTCAGCAAGTGCTGAATGGCACTTACCACTTTTGGGGTGGGTTTCTGGATTTACACATTCTCATAACAAAATTTAAGGCCTTTTAATAAGAGCCCTTTATAGAGGACATGTGGCTTTCTGCTTTACAACTGAGACCTGACATCCTTTTGATTCAGTGGGCATCTATGAGTGAGATAGTTTTGTTGAAGAAAGTTGATTTACGGATTGCCTTAACAGTAGGAGATTTCAGAGAGTTAATTAAGTCTTTAATGTTGAGACCAGCATATTTTACAGAGCAATAAAATTAGATGGCATGAGTGAAAGATGATGAAATATGGCTTTTGGTTTGTTTTTCAGTCTATTCTTCACCTAGCAAACAGTGGCCTGGAAAATCTGTTCAGTGCATTAATATATTTGATGCTAGATGTATAATATCACCACCGATTACCCATACGGACAAGGGTCACTCCAATTAAATCTGGAGGTTTTTTTTTTTTTTTTTTTCAATTAAGACTTTATTAACAACCATTGAGCAGGGAAGAGGATGAAAGCAGATCTTAAAATTGTGTAACGAAGTGTTGATCTGCTAATTAAATGATGCAATTAAATTAAGCCCCTCTGACCAACACGTTAATTTTTATGACTCCCTCTTAAAAGTCTTCACTGCTGTTTGGGCAAATGTAGCTGTTTGGGAGCCTTTCTGAACACAGATTTTTGCAGTTTAGTGAATGCTAAAGTTAGAAGTTCCATCCACGGCGTCCCTGAATCAGGACCGTTTTCCTCCAGCTTTCTAAACAGGGCTGAAACTTCTTAATAGGAGCTGAAGGATTTTTTTTCTCTTCTGTAGTGCTGGGAAACCAAGTCTTGTGTGTTTGTATATCATCTGTAAAAGTGAACTTTGATATCAAACTGTATGTTTAAAAGCAGTCCTTCTAGAAAATGTATTGCATGCAAATTCTGTTCCCGTCAGAGACCCTGAAAAGATCTGGAATGGCCTTAGTTCCTGGGTGTTTAAATGAGATTCCCCTTTTGCAAAAGCCCTGCTTAATATGAGGTGCCTAATATGAGGGTTTCTGGGGGTGTTGTGTTAACTGACTGGAGGCATCAGGTGAATCTCAGCATTGGTTAACATTAGGACATGCCCCCCCAGTAGGTTTTTCCTCTGGCTGATGGTTTAAATGCTCAGGACAGGGGCTACAGGACAGGCAAGGATGGGGCTGCCTGGTCCCCTATTGCCGCTTATGAGCTTACACTTAATATACATAAAACAAGCACAGGAGGAATGCTACAAATCCAGACATTTCTGTTAAAAATACAGGTGTCATTTCCCCTCCCTGATGTGTTTCCAGCTGTCCCAAGTCGCAGCGGGGCCCATGGCTGGGTCAGTCCCTGTGGCTCTCAGACCCGTGCGCGCATCTCCGTGAGCAGAGCCCTGCACATCTCCTGCCCCGCTCCCTGCGAGTTCCCTGCTTCTTCCATTGCTTTCTCCCCGTCACATAATCAGTGCTATAAAGTTATAAAGTGTCGTGTGTTTCACCCG